CACACTCATAAATAACTGTCAATAATTTACTGCCTCTCCAGGAAGAAGATCTTGTCCCCAAAGAAACAAAGCAAGAAGGAGCAGTCACACTACAAACATACAAACGTTATTTGAAATCACTTCACAGTGGCTGGGCTTCTTTCTTTATATTTTTCCTGTTTCTGCTAACCCAGGTAATATTGCACTGACTACTTCCAATCCACTGTCGCTATAGCTAACTGTCACAATTCCCTGTGGGTTTCCAGACTCGTACCCAGTCATTACTCTTCTTTTTTCTCTGGCGCGCACAAAGGATCAACGGAGACCAACGGAAGGTAGTTCGGACTTCCCTTGATGCATTGCTACCCATAAAATAAGCAAGAGAAATGACTGGGTATGAGTATAGAAATGATGCTTCTGTTGAAACAATTTTGTGGTTACTCTCGCCATTGATAAGACAGAGAACAATGTTCTGGTGATGTAAAAAAGGAAGAGAGTTAGTAAGAATATTGTTACTTAATTGCTTGTTTCATCATACTACAAAATAACAAGTTATAGTGGAATTACTAGGTGTTGGGTACATTTGAATTTTTTTGTCAATATGCATCTCCTTAATATTCTTTTTTTTTTGTCACAATTGTTGGTGGAAGATTAGTCTTTTAATAATAAAAAACTAACCTTTGAATATTTTCATTAGGTTGTATTCATGATGTCTGATTGGTGGATGTCTCAATGGTAAGGCTGCTTTCATTGTCAGTCCTGTCTCTCATTGTGATGTCATTATAGGACTATATCAATCTTTAGCTACCAAGTTTATCTAATTTCAGGAAAACTATTATTAATAATTGTTTCTTCTGTAATCTCTTGAGTGTGTTTATTCATTCATTTAATCCTTTGACCCATTTAAACTCCCAATATTGCACTCTCATTTCACAATGACTTCACAATTCATAGGTGTAACAAGGAAGAGCAATACAACCTCAAGAAACAACAGCAAAGCAATTCCAACTCCACAGCAACGGCTCCTATTCGTCCTCTTGATCGTACAATGTATCTAATTGTTTACAGTGTCTTGGCAATTGGTTTACTTATCCTCAGTAACGTACGCACACAAGCATTCTACAGGATTGCCATCGCAGGCTCTCGTATAATGCATTCAAAAATGTTTTATGGTCTACTTAGAGCACCGCAATATTTCTTTGATACTAATTCTATTGGTGAGTATTACTAGTACTCCTAGGTTGGGATGAATTAAGTTAAGGGGGAAAACAAAACAATTGTGAGGGGAAATTATAGAATTTCCCATTAAAACATTTCATGCTAAGGGAATTCCAGGAAGGAATCCAGCAGCTCAAACAACAGTGACATTTCAAAGAGTTTTTGATGAATTTACTCTTTATTGAGGGTTGAGTCCATTTTTTATGATTTCAAGAGTGTTTTTTGTTGGTTATTCTTTTCTGTAGGCCGCATTCTCAATCGTTTTTCAAAAGACATGGGATTCGTTGATGATATGATGCCATTCATTGTCTGTGATTTCACTCAAGTAAGTTGAGGTGGTTTTTAGAGCACAACCAATAATATTTGAATTGTTATACACTGTGACTTCAAAAACTATCATGAAAACACTTTTAAAGTGGATCCATACATCACATTCATTCTGTTGATCAAGTGGCCCTCATTTAGGCAGCCATACCTTTATTGACAATTTAGACTACTAGGCGATTTTAATGGAAGGGATTTCTCTCTGTAGACTTCAATGATGGTCTTGGGTATCCTRTGTCTTGTAGCCATCAACAATCCTGTAACATTTGCTATAGTTRTACCAGTTGTAATCTTGTTTTGGTATCTGAGATCATACTACATGAAGACCTCAAGAGAAGTCAAGAGGATTGAGGGAACAAGTGAGTTGGCTGCATGGAAAATGATAGATTTGGGGTTTTTACAGGTGCAGGGGAAGCGCACCCCCCACCCCTCTCCTGAGATCTGTATCCTTCAATACTTTCCTTATTTTGTATCTTCATGGTAATAATTTTTTTGTGGGGTGCACCACCTACTGAGTGCTCCGCACCCCTCCCTGAGGAAAATCCAGGATCCGCCCCTGTGGTACTTGCTCATTCCTCCTTTGAAAATCTCAGAAGGACCTTGTATTCATGGTTACCACCCTTAGTGTAGAATCATCATTTGAAGGGTAGAAAGAAAGTAAAAAAGTCATTTGCATGAGAATAAGAGTGATAGAAAGAAAGAAATGCATTAAGACACAATATTTCCTTTGATAACATTTGGCACATTACCATTGTAAATAAAACCAGGCTTTCACAACTGTTATTTAGCGTGTTCCCATTTCTCTTTGAGCTAAATACTGCAGCTGCAAGAGAAGACTTATACTAGGCTGCATTTCTGGTTGTTAACTGTATTGCTTGGTTCTACTATGAGTTTTGACTTATTTGCAGGTCGTAGTCCAGTGTTTGGCCACTTTTCTACAACACTTCTTGGTCTTGACACTATCCGTGCTTTTGGTGTCGAGCAAACATTTATAGACCAAATGAATAACTACCAAGATCAGCACACTCGTGCTTGGATGACATTCATCTCATCAACAGCCTGGCTTAGCTATAGGCTAGACATACTCTGTGTTATCTTCATTTCATTTGTGGCTCTAGTTTCACCAGCGCTGAGAGATGGTAGGATACTGAATTATTCAAATATGTTTTTGCCTCACATTACAATTGTATTTGCCTTGTCATTATAATACAACATCTTTTTGAGCCCTTGCAAGCCCCATTTTTGAGCATCATTGATCAACCATCATCATTGTTTCAATGTACTGAGAAATTAATGATTTTGATATGTTGCAGCTCTGAGTGCAGGAGTAGTTGGTCTCACTCTGTCCTATGCTATCATGATATCTGGTGTATTCCAACAATGTGTGAGGCAAAGTGCTGAAGTTGAAAATCTTGTAAGTCTTCAGTAACATTAAACGGAATCTATACTCCTAAAATGTAGCCTCCCCCACAGCCATCTCTTTCCTATCTAAAATAGTGGGCTTCCTGTGTAAGATAAGTAGAAGAGTGGAACTTAGTAACAAAGCAAGGAAAAAATTAAATAAAGCGGTTTTCCTAGTCCCCTCTCTACCGTTTTTTTCCACAGGGAAGCTTTAGTGTATAATGCTGTAAAAGTGAGATGGCTACAAAGGAAGCAATCCTTAATGCAAATGCTATTCCTATTGTTAGCTTAAAAAAACTATAGACAAGCTTCAAAAGGGACTGACAATGAGGAGGAATGGATATCACTTATGAAAGGTTGCCTTTTCTTGTRTTTCAATTCATAGATGACTTCAGTGGAGAGAATCCTTGAATACACTGACCTGGAATCTGAGGCTCCTTCTGAGACTGACTTCAAGCCACCTGAAGACTGGCCTGATAAGGGAAAAGTTGTCTTTGATAATATGTCATTTAARTACCACAAGACRCTCCCTAAAGTDCTGCATAACATTTCTTGTTGCATAAAACCAATGGAAAAGGTAAATTTTTCTATTTGTCTGACTGCCTTAACTTTACCACTGTTTGCATTGTTGCTATGTGACATTTTGAGAAAAAACATGGAGGCATGCCATTTGTAACAGCCTGCCATCATTGGAAATTATAAGCAGTGTTTTTCTTTATAATCAATTATTGTAAATTGTGCATTTGTCATGTAGTAACCCAAATGATATACATGTAGCAGTTACTGGATTTTACTTCTAGTTTGTCATTGGAAATGATATTGAACCAATTATTTGTATAGGTTGGGGTTGTTGGCCGTACTGGTGCAGGGAAGTCATCTCTKCTATCAACCTTGTTTCGTTTAGCTGAACCACTTGGTCTTATTGAGATTGATGGTGTGAACATCAGAGAGCTTGGCTTAAAGGATTTGCGAAACAAGATTTCTATAATACCACAAGTAAGTACATGATTGTATGAGTGCTGATTTCAGTACGAGTTCAAAGATCATTCTGGTCAAAGTTAGTCCAGACATCTACAAGTCTATCTAGTGTAGTAGTCAAGTTTTGAAAACTGCACATACTATAGAAAAAGAATTAGAGACAGGGCTCAGAGGCAGCATTAGATAATCCCTTTTATTCTCAAGCTACAATCCCGGACAAAACTGTTAAAAAATGCCAGTGTCTCAACTAGTTTTGTCCGGGATTGTAGCCTTGTCTTCAGTACTTTTGTGCAAGATCGTTTAACCCAAATATCAAAAAAGTGGGCTACTGATTTGCTTCAAATTCTCAATTAATAAGGATCATTGCTACTAGAAGATCTCTCTAAGCTGTTATAGATTATACCATTACTTGGATGTTTTACAACGATACATTCTTATTGATAAAAACATTGTTCACTTTGTACTTACATATATGTTAGTGATGCATGTTATCTTTCAACAGGATCCAGTGATCTTCAGTGGTACAATGAGAAAGAACATTGACCCCTTTAATGATTATAGTGATGAGGACTTGTGGAAGGTTCTAGAAGAAGTATGTATTTAGTTAGTTTAATGTTTACCATTGAAACAAAAGGTATTTTTGAGCAGCACGTCGTTAACACACTTTGAAACCTGCTTTTTGATTGTTCCCTTCTACTGCACTTTTATTGTTAGTTTTAGGTTTTGTTGTGTTTTTTTTGTTTCTATTTTTGCATCTATTTTCCCTTTGTCAGTCAAGCAATCATGAGATTCATTCTGTTTGGGGCTCACTTACATTAGTAACATATTTTCCCAAAAGTACCTTGTTTTTGTGATCTCATCTGCAATATTTTTTAAACTGCTTGTGAAGTAATCATTTTTTAATCATTTTTTAATCATAATTCACTTCTTGTGTTTCCTTAGGTTCAACTCAAATTAGCCGTAGAGGCACTTCCCAATAAACTAGAGTCTGAAATAGCTGAAGGTGGCTCTAACTTTAGTGTAGGACAAAGACAGTTAGTTTGTCTAGCTAGAGCAATATTGAGACACAACAGAATACTGGTTATTGATGAGGCGACTGCTAATGTAGATCCAAGGTATGGCTATATATTCCAATTTATTCAGGTTCTAAGTATTTAGTGGTTCCATGCACGATCTTGAGCCAGAAAGACATATTATGCTGACCATAATCATGTCTGATTTCTTTACTTTTTTAGGACTGATGCTCTTATTCAGACAACTATCCGTGACAAGTTCAAAAAGTGTACAGTCCTGACAATTGCACATCGCTTGCATACTATTATGGACTCTGATAGAGTAATTGTGAGTACATAAGTTATTTATGAAAATCAAGCTACTTTATTTGGAAACATGGTTCAACTAATGAATTGATAAACAGTTTGTAGTTTATATCAGCTTTAAGTGTATTATTTTGAGTTGTGGACCAAATTAGAATACAAATGAGAAATAATACATTAATATTTATTGTTATAGGTTTTGGATGCTGGCCGAGTCAAAGAATTTGATGCTCCTTACATCCTCTTAAAAAATGCCAAAAATGTCTTCTCTCAGCTTGTCACTCAAACTGGAGCAGAAGAAGCCAGAAAGCTGTATGAAGTAGCACGAGAAGCTTACTATGAAAAACAAACCCTCAAAGAAGACAATGAACCTGAGGAGGCAGAAGATACACAGGATGGCTTTGAAAGTTTATTTGAGGCAAATGATGCAGACGAAGTAGTTATCAATGTTATAAAACCTGCAGAGGCTGGTAATAACGAGAAAGATGGCAAGGAAGAAACTCCATTGACTGAAGATGTCAATACTGAGGGGGAGATTGTTGATAAAGACAATGAAAAACAAAGTCTTTTGAATGAAGATGACACCTCAAAGTCCAAAGATGAAGCCTCAAAGTCCAAAGATGAAACCTCAAAGTCCAAAGGTGAAGCTGCAACCAAAGAAAAGGATGAAGAAATTGCAGATTTACCTGATGTTGAGGTGGTGGATCCAGCAGATGGTGGTGAAGATGAGAAACTCTTGAAGCCAACATCAGACTTGTAGTTTACTCTTTTATGAATATAGTATTACAGAATTATGAGTATTATATTATATAAGAAAACTAGTGTTTTTATTTCAGTATTGTATACACATACAATCATGTCATAATTTTTTTAATGCCAGATATTAGGGTATATTTTTTAATGTGTATATTAATAGGACTCATTTAATTTTTTTAGCTCTTTTCTAGAGTTAGAGGATAACACATGCATCTTCCATTCATTTGATATTTTCCATACTTTCTAGATCACAGTGGTGTAATTGTCAGTCTGTCTGTCCATGGACTGTAGCGTTTGCTTCATGCCTTTCAGACTACTTCCAAAACTTAATGACCATATACTAGAAACTATCTTTGAGTTGAAAGCACATAATAATTTGCATCACAATTTATAAGTCTCCTTGAATTCTGAATGAATTATTGAAAGCCTAATTAGTACCAGAGGTGATTGACAGATTAATTATTTTATATAATATGATCATAAGTAAATGTTTTAAATAATTATAAAATAGGAATAATATTCTAATAAATACAAAATAATTATGGATTTAG